ACCCGGCCCCGCCACCGCGCCTTTCCCCGTTCTTCCCCTTTCCCCGTTCTGTCCCCGCCCTTTCTCCTTTATCCGGCGGTGCCGGTAGCCGCGCCCTCGCCAGCCCGGCTCTTGTCCCCCTTGGTCCCGCACCTCGGGACAAGCCATCTCTTCCCAGACGCGTTGATCCCGAGTTCCAGAGCCCAAGCGCTGCCCGCGTCCCGGTACAGCCCGGCCAGGCACGGCAGGCTCCGATTCCCCCGTTGCTGAGCCGGGTCCCGGTGCCCCCGGGCGACGCCAGCACTGCAGGACCCGCCCCAAGCGGGACCGGCACCTCCCGGCCCGTTACACCGCGGGGAGAACGGGAAACCTCACCAAGACCGAGCAGCCCCGGCGAGAGCAGGCAGGAAAGACTGACGCCAGCACCGCGTTTTCAAATGTCACATTTAATGTTTTCACCACTGTACTCCAAATCTACATTTTACAAAGTGACCAGCAAGTGTGCCACATTAACTGACCAACCTCTGAGATTTTACCTTTCATACCAGTGTCTTCTGGGGCTCAATAATTAAACACGTTTCTCATTCAAGTGAATTGAAATGCTTCAGTTGGTTTTATTCTGAGGAGCCTCATAAAAAACAAAGATATTGCACCATCTTTGTTCAGTTATTCAATGTTTGTCTCTTTCACAGCAAATAATTACTTCATTGAAGTTAAAACTTCCAAACATAACTTACTAATAGTCTCCAATTCCAGCTCAGATCACTCTTGTTGAAAATACTCTGCTAAATACAGATAACTTACAATAACTTTAACAGTTAATTGTCCATAACAAACACCATGGTTTCTCTCCAGACCAAGGCTCAAATTTTAAGACCACCTTTTAGTATTCCTTTGTACAGGTGAAAAACAGTCTTCAATTTTCTAGTCTTGTTTTAAATACAAAAGTTGGAAGGGACATTCAAGTTTCAAGTCTCCACACTAAACTTAAAAAAAAAAAATCATGTGGAGGTAAACAAACCAAGTTGTATACTCCAGGAGGTAGAGGCCTTCAATTTGTGTTCATATATACATATGCACAGAATTCAGTGTTCCAACAGAAAAAGAATTAGCCAAAAAGTAATAAAAGTTATTTACTACTGTGACATTTCAAGACTTCCACAGCTTTGCCTAAAGACACGAACACAATTAACAGAATTCCCTATGTGCTTTTTTTTGTCCTTTTCTTTTTTTTTTTTTTTTTTCTCAACTGTCCAGTGCAGGAAAAAGTTCTCACAAAATTTCACAGACCTAAAATGTGCAAGCTAGTTTCTCTCTATACAGCAAGGATGTCAGGGATCTCTGAAATTAGCCCATAAATGGAATTATTTACACACATAGAAGATGCATGCTGGGGGGTTTTATGTAAGAAAGAGCAGAAAAACTTCTAATAAAAATAGATTAAATATATATATATATTTATACTGGGTAAGGAAACAGAAGTTTAGTCTCTCCTAGTCACAAACTCATTCTCTCTACTCACAACATTTGATTTTAGAACAGCACACATCACCATCACAGCTCTAGTGAGAAGCTATTTATAGGGTTGGACATTAGGGGACATGGCCACTTCCCATGGCCACGGCCACCCAAAGGGACTTCATGATTGGTCGCAGTCAAGTTTTCTGTATTCCTTAGTTTTAGAAAACCCAAAATCTTCAGGAATGGCTCAATATCAAAATGTATGTCTATCTGTGTGTACAATCTCACTTCAATAAAAAAAAAAGGGAAAAAATAAAATAAAATAAAAAAAAAACCTCCCCGAATTTGGTTCAATTCTGTTTGTTCTGAGCTGAGCCATCACAGCTGCACTAGAATTCATAAAACACGTGCAACTCTGGGTAAAATATTTTCTTCTAAAAGCACAACCACTTTACAAGATTAAAAGTCTAGTACATTTCTAAGTATTATTCATATTGTACAAGTAGTGGTTGTTAATTTAAAACTTCATTAGTAAAATTACAGTACAAGCATGATTAACCTCCAGAATTGCAAATCCCAGACTCCAGTGGAAAGCTACATTACATCTTCAGTAGTACGGGGTGCTCCGGTCACTCCCACACCAGCGGTGACGGCGGCATCTCGGAGGGCTGGGCGACCGTGGAGCTGCACGGGGGACACAGACATCAGAGCTCACTCGCAGGGCTCACAGCCACAGCCCTGCTGCTCAGGGGGACCCAACAGCCCAGGGACAGCAAAACCCCAAAGCCAACCTGAGCCTGCCAACAGCAACCAGCACTGACCGCAAACATTCCTTTACCTGCCCTCAGTCGCTGCTTCTGGTGCCTTCACCATGCAGCTCTACAATGAAAACTACCCAATCTTCCCAATTTCAGTTTCAGTCTGACTTCTGTTCTTTCACACAAAAACATTACTTGAAACTCTTGCACGTTTTACTTAAATTCTAGAAGAATTCATAAAAACAGTTCACAAGGATTTTATCTATGGGGCCCCCTTCCTACTCTCAGGAACTGAAAACCTAAAACATTCTGGATGTGTGAATTCTGTACTAGTAATAAATGGGAATTAATATCAGATGTGATTACATACAGTTACCTAATAAAGCTCTTAAAAGCAGCAGACTGAGGGTTGATGCAGAGAGGCACTCTGTTTCCTTTCTGCTGTTCCAAAATGAACTGATGAATTATTTCTGTACACAGGAGAAAAATACAAAACAACACAGCATTAACACTTCTGGCTTCAGTAAAATGCAATGTCAACACTGGAGGGAAACAGATCTTCCCTTACTGAGAGTACATTTTAGTGAGGATAAGAGCTCCAGCTTCCCTAAATCTGACTGCTCAGCTTCAGCTCCTGGCTGCTGCTGCCCCTTTCTGCAGGACAGCTGTGGAGGTCACACCTCACAGCCCCAAAATGCCACACAGTGAGTTCACCTTCCCCCAGGGCCATCCCTCAGCAAAAGGATCAGGAATAGGGCACCATGGATGGGCGCTGGTGAGGTTTGAAACCCACAGATTTCTGCAGGTCAGCTTGTGCTTGCACCATTGCCTTATCTCAGAACACTTACAATTCTGTTCTTTTGGTGAAAAGAAATTTCCAGTGTGTACTATGGAAAAATACCTAAAAGAAACCAGCACTGTGGATCCACTGTGTGGATCCAGAGCACAAATCCCAACTCCATCCCATGTCCCCCCTGCTGCAGGGGGACAATTGCTCATGCAAGGTTAACTCCTGCTCACCTTTAACCTGCCGAACAGAACTGAGGTTCTTCTCAAAAGTGTCATCGAATTTGGGATTAGTGATGGGTTCAAAATCACTGGTATAAACTCTGCCAGTCGAAGTGGAGAAACAACATTTGCACATACAGGTGTGGTACCGCAACCGCCCCTCGTCCAGGTAGGGGTGAGCTAAGGCATCCTTAGCAGATATCCTTTTGGACTGGCAACAGCAAGGAAAGGGAAGAGAGCAAGAGTGAGGCTATTTTCAGAGCTATTGAAACTACTCATCGATTAATGCCCAGTTGTTTTATAAACCCACAGTGGTGTGAAAGGAGGGGCTTGTGTCAGGCACTGCCAGAGCTGCCACTAGAGGGGAGCTGAGGCCCATGAACCAGCCTGCCTGGGTGGCACCGACCTCCCCTCTCACGGCCACCACATGGCCTGTAGGAACATGCTTTTCAATGCATTTTTTTCTCCAGATAATCTTACAATTATGACTCCTGCAATAAATCAAAACAAGATGGGAAAAACAGCATTCTAAGTGTTGAGGGAGTCAGAAAGGATTTTTTTTTTTTTTTAATTTGGTTATGGTTTAATATTTCCATGGTTCTGTTCAGCAAAGCAATCTTAAGGTTTTTAAAAAATACACTCCAAAGGCAGTGCTTCTAAATGCTTCTTCAACCCCCAGACTCCTCCTTTGCACTGCAGGCACTCTGTTTTACATTTGCAGTGCTGGGGGGGTTCTTTGGGAATGAAATAATTAAGATTATCGGTTCCAATATCAGATTTTCTCGTGACAATTCTCTACAATGTCCCAAGAAATGAAATCCAAAATCCACAGCAGCACATTTTTATTAGAAAAACAGATGTTCAGTGGAAAAATGATCCTGCTCTGTGATTGGGGATGCAGGAGGAATTTTTTGTGTTTTGCAAGACCAGGAACACCCCCGTGTCCCTAATTAGAACTGCATCAAAGTAGCTGATGTTCTGCTACCTACACCCAGCTCGGAAAAGAGCATGACTCATGCACAGCCTCATCCTTCCCACTGCCAGAGCTTCCTTCCCAGGACCACTAGGTTTGAAACGTGAAACCCCCATTCCAAGGGGAACTGATTGGCCAATTGTACGATATTTTTACATTTTTTATGGACCAACAGTACTGCAATACCAGCAGAAGGAAACCAGCTAAAGCAGTCCCTGACTTAAAACACTTAAATTTAAGCACCAGACAACAAAAACTGTTCAAACCAGAAGTCTAAGAGATGATTTTCAGTCCTACTTACTGGATCAAAGACCAACATCCTGCAAAGGAGATGAACTGCTTCATGTGTAGCTTGACTGGAGAGTGTATACAGGACAGGAAGGGATGGCTGTAGGGGGAATGGGAGGAAGAGAAGCACAGAGTGTCCTGTCAGATCCATCACCAGGAAAACCCTGCTCCCGCACACACTATTCCACAGTCAGCAAGGACAAACTCCTTGTTAAAGGGGACAAGTGGGACCCAACACTTTCCAGCATGACGACAATCCCCGTTACAAAGCCCAGCAACTGTAATGAAGGTCTAATTTATCACTGTTTCCCTTAGTTCAGATGTAATCCCTAGAAAAATCCGCTTTTATTTATGTATTTTCTATAGAGACATCATTCCCAGAAGTAGCTGCTCTGGGGTTTGATTAACTCCATTATTCATTTTTTAATCTCAGTCCCTCCCAAATTATGGATTTCTTTGCTTTTCCTTGCCCAGGCAATCCACGGCTGACTGACAGTGACAGAATGACTGTACTAGATGTCACGGTAGCTGTAAATTTCCCAGTATAAATAAGAATTACACCTCCACAGTGACATCAGTCAAAGTTAACCCTGAACTGCCTCACAGAGCCCTGAGCACTTCCCAGCCCTGGCTTCCCAGGGCAGCCTATGGAACATAAAGCTGCAGTGTTTGGTAACTCTCCTCCTCCTGGCTTGCTCTCCCACAGCAGGAGGGATCTCAACAGGCAGGGGACGGACTCCACATGTTTTCCTTTGGGAAAGGGGTCAGCAGGGACAGGGACAGCTCATTCACCCTGGGGCTGCCAGGGGCACAATTCACTTGAACTCTTAAATACCAAACTGACAAAGTCTAGGGAGTATGTAAATACCCATTCTGCCAGCACAAAGTGAGGTAGGGGGGGTTTAATCAGAAACTTCTCGCATTAATCTATTTTTACACGGAGCAGCAAAATGCCTCACCCCTCTCTCCCACTGTGCTCACCTACGGCGAGTAAAAATAGTTGGTGTGACAGAGCAATCGCCCGTTTCTAACTTGGGTTTCTCTCCCTATTAGTCTAATTAGGGAACCAGTAACATTTAACCATTTACAACCAGCAAAAGCTCCATTTCAGAACATGAAAAGGCAGGAATTTGCACTCAAACATGAAGTGTGCTTCAAGTTGAAAACAAAAGTCCCATTAATCACCTGGATGATCCACATCCCCAGGTTCCAAGGTGCAATGAGCACACCAGCTCCCATGGCACACCGTGGAGAAGGAGTATTGTTTTCCCCAACACACAGAGAACTAACTCAGAGTGTATTTCTTACAACTTTGTGTCTACAGGACATTAAATCTGTAGTGGAAACTTTTTATACCATTTCACCTCACTTGCTTTTTAGGATTCCCACCATCCTGTGGGTCATAAGACACTGGGTTTAGGAGTCACAACTCTTCTAGCACATGATAGCAGAAAAATATACTTGACTTAAAACCGGTAGAGAAAATATGAAGGAAATCCTCCTATTATTAATGCTCAAATTAAAAAATCCTGTCATGAAATGGAACAGCGACAACTTTATGTAGTGGATCCAAAGTGTCAGGGAGGCAGAACTCCCACATGTCAATAATAAAGCAGATGCAATGCTCATTTCTATGGTAACTACTATTGTAGTGAGCAGATGTGAGAAATTACTTCAACATGCAGAAAATAATGATGCAAACTTAACTACCGGAGCAAGTACAGGCCAGTATTTTTGTTAATTTTGTTAGCAATCATAAAATGATCCTATTGGAGGGCCACAGAGCCTTAGCCCTGCACTAGAGATGTCTGCACAAGCATTTCTTTGTATCTGTTAACACTATATTGCATTTGCCCTTTTTATTGCCCAGTCAGCACAATCACTCCATCCTGCCTTTTTCCTTTGGTTTGGTGTCTTTCTTACACCAAGTCTTTCTTTAGTCTTTAAACTAACTTTTACTCCAGTAGTGTAGAATGCTGTGTCTCAGCTTTCAGCCTCTTGTTGGGCCTTCCTGAGCAGTTCAGGTCTGAGCTCAGGTGTGCTGAGGCCCAGCTCACCCTCTGGGCTTGGGGCACTGGAGGTTCTTCCCTCAGCTCTGGGCAATTCTAACACTCCTGATCCTGGCAGTGCAGCAGCCCTCCAGGGCTTTCTGAATTGTACTGTCAATTTTAATTGATGTCTCTTGCCAGTACTAACACTTAAAGTGATTAAAAAAAAAATCTTCATTCAGAGTAGCTATCAAAACACTGTCACCTCAAGAAGAGAGAACTTTCAACTGGGTCATCCAGACCACCAATAGCCCCAGGGCAAAAGCCAGGAATGCCCCTGACTAGTGAAAAGCCCCCTTGTCTCCACAGCAGTCAGACTCACCACACATCAACGCCGTTCCTGAGCACCACAACCACCCGTGGTCAACTCAGCCCCACTCCCAGGCACAGACAGATGTGAGACCAAGCATCCAGCCTGAGTATTTTCAACCAGCAGGCCATGGAAACTTAGTGAGCATGTGAAAGCGTGAGTCCTGCCCAGAGGAAGCCCTGCCTGGTGGGGCTGGGTGGCCGGAGCCAGCCCTGGCAGTACCTGTTTATGAGGACCCCTGAGTATGTGTGCCTTGGCGCCTTCACAAGCCGTCCTCATCGCCTCCAGCGACGGTGTGCCCAGCAGGTCTGTGATCAGATCCAGCTGCATGACAGAGCACACAGGACACAGCTCAGACAGGGGATGCATTCCACTACAGCAGCACATTCCCAAGCTAACACAAACTAACATCCTGTGCCTGTTCCCTGGGAGCACAGCCCGACCCCCCTGGCTGTCCCCTCCAGTCAGGGAGTTGTGCAGAGCCAGAAGGTCCCTCCTGAACTCCTTTTCTCCAGGCTGAGCCCCTTTCCAGCTCCATCAGCCTCTCCTGGGGCTCCAGCCCCTTCCCAGCTCCATTCCCTGCCCTGGTCACGCTCCAGCTCCCGCAGGTCTCCCCTGAGTGCACCACTGCCTCCAGGAGCAGGTGCGGCAGGGAGTGCTGGCAGGGAGAGGTGAGGATGGATACCTGCTGGATGGGACTCTGTGCCTGGAACAATATCCTTCTGCCAAGCAGCTCTGCAAAGATGCAGCCAACAGACCAGATGTCGATGGCATTGCTGTAGTGCCGGCTGCCCATCAGGATCTCCGGAGCGCGGTAATACTGAGTGACAACTTCCTGAGTCATGTGCCGGGATTCGTCTAACTCTTCCACCCTGGCCAATCCAAAATCACAAATCTAAATTGAGAAGGTAAATAAAAAAATTAAAATAACCAAAACACCTTCTGCATTTCAAATAGGCAACCTTCTGGGAAGGAGGCAGGGAATCCCCAACCAGCATTTTAATACATCAAATAATCTGCTGCAACTGTGTAAGTCAGGGGAGAGGGAACAGGAGGAAATTACATTGCTTTGTTCCACTGACATTTACACTTCCTACAATTTCATTTGAAATCACAGTATATTTTAAGTTGGCATTATAATATTTATAATCTGAAAGATTAAAAAGATTTGCACTACAAAAAAACCTAACCTCTGGGTATGGAGCATTTAAACTCAAACAAACTTCATTTGCTCATGGCATGTCTCAAAATATTAAAGATTTGGCTCTACTCATTTGGGCTTGGAGAATTGTTAAAAATGTCTTGAACCAGAAGTGTTAAGAAAAGAGACCAAACTTTGCCAATTACAATTCTTAGCAAATCCCTGTAAACAACACTGATTTTTTTGTGTTTGGCACAGCTGTACAACACACCTCAGTCCCCCAAAATTCCATATACTCAAGGTCAATGGAAGGGCCTCAGGCATTTGGTGTCGTCTTCCCCTGAGGAGCACAGAGACACTGAGGCACCCCAAGCACCCCCTGCCCTCCCAGGCACAGGAGATCCTACCCACATCCAGCTCAGGAGCTGCCTCTCACTGTCAAAGATGTGAGAGGGAGAAAAGGGGAAAGACAAACGGTTCCTGCATTTCTACTTTCTAAAAAAACTGTAGGACTTTTTCCCATTTACACAGACTTTCAGGGAAAGTGTTCACATAGAATGTTTTTTGTTTAAAAATTAACAACATACACACACAAACATCTTCAATAAATGTAAGCAGCACCTTAAGGACACAGTTGCTGTTCACGAGTAGGTTCCCTGGTTTAATGTCTCGATGTAAAATGCCAGCAGAATGTAGATATTTCAGACCTGAAATATTAAAGGAAATTAAAATAAAGGTTTTTTTCCCCTTTTAAAGGAAGGCTGACAACATTTTCCCAGAAGGTCTGGCAACTCCTGATCAGCAAAGACTTTGCCTGTGCCTCAGTTTTTGTGAGAAATTCCTAGCCACTAGTGCACACTCAGTCACTTAATGACAGTGTAAAATTTTTGAGTATATAAAATAAGCAGAAAAAGGAATTTAGTAGTCTTTTTATAAAGACCCCCTCCCCCCAAAAATCCAACAAACAACAATCAAAAGCAAAACATCATCTCTCTGATTATGGCATGGATACTCTGCTAATTCCCACACTGGAATTTTCAGATACCTCTTACTGCTCTGTTTTTCAGTAACAATTTTTACCTTAAGTGGATATAATCACACATATTTACCCATCTGGTTCAGCCTAGGGTCCTTTCTGTTCCTTGATTCTAAAAGCATGACTTTTCTTTCCCTGACAATGCTTTAAGGAAGAATGCTCTTGTAGCTACAATAATTCATGCTTGGTATTTATTCAAATATGAAATGAAAAGAAGTTCCTCCAGGAAGCTTATTCAAGATGAGAATGTCTTGAAAGCAAACATTAAGAAAAAATAAAAAAAAATATTTCTACGACAGTTTTCAATAAATTTAGAAGCAGAAAAATTACCTCTTAAAATCTGGTAAAGAAAAACTTTGACATGATCCGAGCTGAGTGGCTGAGGAGAGACGATAATCTTATGGAGGTCACTCTGCATCAACTCAGTGACAACATATCTGCAATTCAGTGGTTAAGGAAAAGCAGAACAGGCACAGAATCTCTTGAAACATTCACTAACTCCTGCTTACTTGAGCTCTTACAGGTCAGAACTATAGAGTTAAAAAGAAAGCTGCTTCAGAGGTCAAATTCTTAGAGGAATGAAAGTAAAAAATGGCTTGCGAAAGAAAATTAGTCCATTGCAGTTTGCATGAAGGTACTTGTACAAAGTTACTGAAAGGCAAATTCCAACTGAGACTGAGAGAAGGTGGCTCCCAGAGGGGCCTGTGTGTGTCCAGGAGCTTTCAAAAGCAGTGAAATAGGGTGAAAGCTGCACAGCTGCACCAGGGATGGAGACCATCCTGACAATGTCCTGGCTGTGGGACAACAATAACACATGCAGAAATCATCACAGTAAATACTGGGGGCACTACAAGCAGTAATTAAAAACATTAACTAGCTTTAAAAGCTTAGTTTAGCCAGTCACATTTGAAACAGAAGTCTCTGCTATTATCACATTTGTGGCTGAAGGAGGTAAAACACATTTGCCCCAAGTTAACTGATACAGCCAGATATTGAATGTTCATTTTCTTTCATCTATACCCAGTCAATGCTCTGCTTTCATCTGTTGCTCTACAAACCCTCTCCAGCCAAATCCCCGTTGGCCAAAGGTCTCATCTGCCAATGGAACAACACACAAAAACTCATTTTATAAATTAAATATCTTCAACTTTTTGAGGAAAAAAGTATTAAAATTGCATTCATAAAGAATTCATAAAGAAAAAACCCAACCCTGCAGCACCATAATTTGTAGCCCTCTAATTTTTCTTTTCCCTTAGCAAAGACCCTTTTAAATATTTATACCAGACTTTTAAAATATGCAGTTTACCTTATTATTTACATTCAATTTAATGCAAAATATTTTTAAAAACCCAAAAGCATTACTCTGCACTTTATTGCGATAAGATTTTGTTTTGCTATGCCACAAATCCTCCTAAATCTCAATCCCGAGCATAATGTCTCCCAGATGTCTCAACTAGTTGCCATGCCAACTAAAGCAGCTTAAATTAAATGAGGGCCTGAAATGGCACCTGCACCACTCCAGGTCTGGGGCGCATTAAATAAAGCCCTTGGCAGGGCTGGGAGGTGCCATTAACCCCGGCACAGCGAGCTGATTATCGCCAGGGATAATTGCACGGGGGACGCGAGCAGCGCGCACCGAGGCTCCGCGGGGACGGCCTGTCCTCTGCTGGGACCCTCTGCACTGCTGGGACAGCCAGCACAACAAACAGCCCGGGACTGCAGCCCCCTCCTCACCCCGCAGGCTGCTCTTCTACAAACCAGAACCGCTGGGCCCCGACCGTGGGGCGGCTGCCGCTGCTACCCAGCGCTGCTACCGGAGAGAAATTGCTCCTGACAGCAGTAATTAGTTAAGTAGCTGTATAAAATTAGATCTACAAATGTACCAATTTGCTTCAGAGTACTTATCAGAGCAAATGCGCAGCACAAAATAACTTGACTTGCTCTGCTGGCTGGGACCTGCTGAGTTGGTAAATTTTATAAAGCGACAAATAAACATTAGAAAGGGATGGAGTGCCCTTGGTGATGTGGTACTCTCATCATGGCTTGGACTGTGCTTTATCTGCACCCCTCAAACCCCAATTCTAGGGTCTCAGGAGTAATCCTGGCAGTCTATGCCCAGCTGGTGTGGGTGCTGGCCCAGAGGAACTCACCACAGTGCTGGATCAGAAGGAAAAGCTCTCCCAGGACGAGCACATGCTGCTGGGACAGCATGGCAGGCACTGGCCCTCACTGCCTGCAGCAGCCCACCTCACCTCGCCCCTCTCTGCCCCACAGATACGAGGGACCTACCCCATAATCCACAGAAAATCTTTCACCTCTGTGAAACTCACTGCGCAGCTTAGCTGCTATTGCTAGTCAAACCTTTTCCAGAACCCACCCCTGAAAAGTGGTGACTTTTCAGCAGCTTCTGATATTCACTTTAATGGGCCAAGTTTTCAAAAAGTTACTACAGAAACTCTGGATAGTTCTTAAAGAACATCCATGGGTATGCAGTTGCAGAATTCAGTATTACAATCACCTGTAGAAGATTTTGTAATTGGAAAAAAGAGCTATCAATCATTCATTTTTGCACTAGGTGATATTGGCAAAAACATCAATACCTGTACGATTCAAAATTGCCACAAAGATTTTCAACCAAAAACCTCATTATTAATTCAAACTGTATCTTAATCTGAGTGTTTGCCAGGAATTTTCATCCTAAAAAAAAAATCTCACTAGATTAAAATTCCTTTATTCATCACATTTCCTAAGAAATCTTTTAATTTATCATTAAAATTTTAAGGTGGTTTTATAATTAGTTCTCCTTAAAAAATACACTCTGCAATTCCTGCTGGTACCTACGAAACACTGAATAATTGAGATGAACTCTACCAGCTCATTTGCAACACATCATTCATATCATTTTAATCATTCTTTTATTACATTTCTTTCCCCAAAAAGGGCACTACAACTCTTCGAAAAGAACAAAGGAAATCACTCAGTACCAACTCCAGCCCTTTACACTTTTATCACTGTTCAATATGTCCTACTGTAAAAATGGAACAATCCGATGATATCTTTAGGAACTCTACTAGTGGATCAACAAAAGAAGCTTTGACAGCTACACTCCCAAGATCTTACCTGATCTTCTTCAAACCAATCCCAAGTAAGTTCTCCTTACACTACAGTAAGTAGAAGCACATCCAATTAAAAATGGGTATATAAATCAAAACATTTACTAATTCATTCTTTTAAGGACTTTAGGGGTCCTAAGTGCACTTATTGAAATTATTTCAAAAGAAAGGACAAAGAAGACTACACAAAGCAATAGTCTTCTACTGCCTGTATTAGAGGCAAGAAATTAACAAAAATATAAAAAAAGATAGACCTATAGAATACTACTCAGAATGACTTAGAAGTCAGTTAGCCATGAAGAAAACTAGCATTTTGGTTTTATATTCAAAACTTGGCAATAGCTAAGCTCATAAAAATAAGCTTATCCCATTTAAATATTCTTGATTGTACAATTACACGGAAGGAGTAATCCTTAACCTAGATCTGATTTATAACTCATATGACTTGTTCTAAATGAGGGCATTGAACTAGTGCACATAACCAAAATCCCGTTTTTGAAGACTACTTATATGCTCTTCATGTGAAAGAAATATCAAAGCAGAATTTTAAGGCTTTATCTAAACTCAAATGAAAAAGCCCCAGTACAGCACAGCAACATTTTCAACTAAATAATGTTTATCCACCAGCAAATTGTGCTGTACTTTGGTTAAAATCACCACGTTGACTACACCTACTTTCTTCACCAATCAATCCAAGGTGTTATATAAATAGATCAAACCATATTTTAAAAGTTCAGGTTACCTAAAAATAATGACAATTTCCCACCCATTAATTGCAAAGTGGGTCATACAAAAAAGTAGCTAAGACCCACCAGCAACAAAACCCAACCTGCCCAAGTCTAACCACAGGAGTGGCAAAGGACTTCTCCCACGAGAGTCAGAGCCCTCCCTACTCAGGGATTCACTTTTCAGTATTTCAGAAAGCAGAAATTCCCTACTTCATGACTAGAAGACAGCCCGAGCCAAGTTTGAAAAGGAAAAAAGACCAAACCAAAACATGACACTCACATTACGTTTTTCCCTCAAATTCACTGCTAGAACACAGTTCCCCATAGGCAGCTTGTACCTGTGCATCAGTGACTCAGAACATCTGTGGGACACAGCTCTGGGCAATGTGCTCTGGACCAGGACAGAGCTGACCAAGGAAAGCCACAGCCCTGCCCGACCACTGAAGCCTCTCTGATTAGTCAAGGTTTCAAAGCCTGTGAAGGCAGAATTCTCTGAAACCACCACAAAGTCTTTTCAAGTACTAATAACTGAGAGGAGATTAATTACTGGATGTAGTTTTCAAAAAAAGATTCTGGAGGAATCCCCGTGAGCAGCAGCAGGGCCTGCTGGTCAATCCCATACTCCCTGCACACACTCGTGGGATCTGAGGCTCAGTTCAGTCCTGCACCATCCCACCCCCAACACCACCTCGGAGCTCTGGATGCTACAGGTTCACTTCTTGACATCAAACTGTCCTGTCATGCAGGCTCGAGGTTTTTGTGGTTCCATTTCATTGATTACACCAACTACCGGCGGTTTCTAAGCTAATGTAAATCACACCTACCCCAATTAAGTGTTCTATTTTTATATTTAGGATACATTTCTTCAAAATAGTCGATGTGTGGAGGCTGGAGGATGTCGAGGGCAGAGAGTACCTAGAAAACACCACACAAGATCAAGGCCTATTCCAGTTGAACAAAACCAAATCCCTTTCAAAAAGACAGGCTGCATGTTTCTCACACGGTTTTGTTTTATTCTACCCCACAGACCAATGTTCTGTCCCCTTAGGTATGAAAATTTAATAACCCACCATGTCAGATATTCTGTATTCAATGTCTCTCTTTTTTAACTCAATAATTTTTTTCCACCTGTTTGAGTAGCAGTTTGAAAGCACAAATTTATTTATCCAATAAAAAGTGGTTTCTTTACAATATATATGAACATAACATCTCTGAAATAAGTAATTCCAGCAGAGAAATGTAAAAGCAGAACATACTACACTTTGTTCTGCCTTTAGTCTTTCAGACTTTTGTGATTCACCACTTCCACATGGGAATTGCAAACCCCAAAGTTGTTCCCATTCTGCATAACCGGCTCGGTGGTAGAAAAAGCAAAAGCAAGAAAAACTGTAGCAAAACAACAGCAGAGAATTCATATCCTCTCACAGAAAAAGATACTCCTTGGTGTGGTCATTTCGACCCTATCCCAGGAATGTTCATGACATTTGGGCAAAGCACCCAAACTTCAGATGTACTTCAAACTTCATGGATCAACCCAAACTGCATTTAAATGTTTTAATTTAATCTGACTGCACCTAAAGCAGATTTGGGAGAGGACCAACAAAGGGGACAGGACCATGGAGTACAGAACAGCTCAGAAGGAACAGTGTCCAGCTGACAGCTCTGTGCAGCCTGACATTTACCTAAAGCATGAAATAAGACTGGGCAGAAGGGTACTGATTGTCTGTTTGCAAACACTTTGGAGAGGAAATCATGAGTATCCTTAGATTCTTGATAGTTTCATTTTTATACTGTTTGTAACAGTAATACCTGAGTTTCCAGAAAATCTGATCCCTGTAAAATCAGAGAGCTCTTACAGCATTTTAGATATTCTGTAACTTAAACCAAAACACACTTCTGTTACAGAGAGCTCCATTTTACATTTAGGTTTTATAAAGGATCTCAAGATTACTTTGAATTTACTTACATTGTCATGCTTAAAAAAACACAACATCTTCAGCTCCCGGAAGACCCTTTTACAAGAGACCAAATTTTGGAAGACGTTGGGCATCTTTTTGAGTGCAACTCTCTTTCCATCTCGTGGATCTGTTACTGACCTACAGAATAAAAGATAAAGAACGTCACATACTCCTGGTTAGACAGTTTTTTTAAAGAAGAAATCAGTATTTTAAAGTTTCTTATCGTTCTCAACTCAGTGAGTCAAAACAAGGTGAAGACATTTCTAGGGAAAAAAGCATTAATGTGAGGGCACTGAGCACTGTGCTGCAGAACCTGTGTCACACAGATGTGACCGTTCCCTGGATGGAGCACAGCCCAGCAGTGCCACACACTGAGCTCATCAAGACATCAACACCTGGAGTGGATGTCAGGATCAACACTGCCTTCACCTCCCAAAAATACCTCATTAAAACACTCTCTCAGTTGCCCAGATCAGATTTTATCAGGTCTATTGCTCACTTCTTCCTCTCCAAAGAGGGTAAAAGATGTAATAAAGCTGTTCTGACAGAACACTGGCAAGTGAAAGACTATTTATTGGTCTATCATCAAACCACTCACATCTGGAGAAGCAACAGCACGTGGTATCTAAGTTTTCACAAACGTAAAACAGGCATGACATTAGTCTTTCTCCCACACAGCTTACGGAATGCAAGTATAGTAGCTCAGGAATTATAAGGTGCTTTGGACATGGCAAGTATTTTAATTTAAAATAATTGGATTCTGAAAATAGAATTTTATAATGAGAACCATAAAACTAGAGCAAGGAGATTATGGTGCCTCAATTCCCAATCCTGGTTTTTAAGGTGAGTTTCACTACAGAACAGAGTATATGCATATTTTTACTGAGATGACCAAAATAACTTCAATCTCAGTGTAGTGTCGAACCCACAGAAGAATCCACATCCAGCTCTGCACCCTGGTAACTACATTTGTCCTTAAAAAATTGCTGGCTTTTCTCTCTCATGTGACTCCTCAACAGCAGATATGCAAGGTAGCTTCTTATGCCTCAGGTCCATGTTTTAAATATCTGAATAAAAAATTAGACTGGAGCATTAAGATATCTACCTCACTCCCAAGTACTACATCTGATTTCAATCCAATTCAACCAACCCAAAGTCAGTCCCAACACCTCAGCCAGACACCTGTTAACAGCCCTGCACATTTGTATTTTAAACAAGGGGCAAGGGGGAACTTGGGAAAGGTGATATACTATTTCTGTGGTGAGAAACACAGCAAAAAAGAATATGAAAAGGTCTTTTAATCCATGATGCATTTCCTGTTTTCTCCAGGGCTTCTGCCTCTTGCTTCAAGTGGTGAGAAAGGGCAAGAGAACTGCAGAGCTCCAGCTCACAGGAAAGCAGCTGCTGAACACCTGAAAATCCTTTCAACCACTACCCCTAAAAATATGAACGGATGCCCACGTTTTTCTTGCTGACTGAAGGCAGAGTCTGAAGTTTTGAGCCCAGATTTCCTGATTTCTGGGATTGTCCTGCTGCTGAGCAGGAGAAGGAAGCGCTTGAGGAACTGCTGGCACTTTGTACCTTGCAGTACCATCAGCACTGTGAATTCTCAGCCTCCTCCCATACACGGAGCTGCTGGGCAGAGGCAAAGGTTTGATAAAGCGGGTATCTTTAATTAAATAACAAAACTACAGTTTAAGTTGATAGCTACCACAGATCTACCAATGCTGATTTTTACTAGCTGTGGGACCCCTTTTGAAAACCAAAAAGAGCTGAACACATGCAGAGCTGTTGAAGTTCACCTCTGCTGTGCCAGGCCTGCTGTGGCTGCTCTGCTGTTCCAAATGTCTCCATACAATAACAATTATTTTGGGTTAAGAGTCTTTTCCTAGTCTCACATGGAGGAAGGAGTTCAGTGGGGTTCCTGTGGCATTCACATTTAAGGCCAGTTTATTTTTTCTTTTAAATAACCCACTTTTACAAACAAGTGATGATCCCCTGCAGTATCCATCTGGAAAGCAATTCCTCTGCTCTTTCCCCCACAGCAGCAGCAATGCCAGCCTGCCCCTCACCTCTCTTCCTTGGGCTGGGAGCTCTGTACCAGTTACCAGCAATTTCACTTTAGGGGCAGCACCAAACTAACAATCCAAGTTCTAAAGATCAGAACTGTCAGGCAACAGAAACAAGAAAGGAAGAAAGAAAACAGTCTGTCTAAAAACCTGGTATTTACAGCATCCAAAAAAAGATGCTGAAAACGTTGCTTTGTGTTTGTGTACAGTACCTACTTTGATACTAGTAAAATAATTATTTATAGCAATATGCTATCAGGTCACCTATCCCCAGGAGAAACTAGAAAAGCAAGAAAATCTCCTAGGAGCTAATTGAGAGAACAGCTAGAAAGGCAGCTTTACTTACTGCTGCTTCTCAGAAGAACACATTTGAATTCCCTGCCCTGCTTTGTGAGGACATTCCAGCATGGGTGAACCCCGCAGCACAGGGCTGGTGGGCAGGAGCCATCCATCACCCAGCACAGGCACTGCTGCGCTTCCAGCACACTGCTGAAGCCTCTAAGGGTCCACTTAACAAGTGTGGACTGTAGCTGGGGATACAGAGATCAGAGACCAAGATTCAAACCAAAAATAACTTAGCAAAAAATTTATAGATAGGTATGGGGCAAAAAATGAATTAATACATCTTGTATCAAGGCAGATAGCTGAGCTCTAACCATGCCTTTAGGAGTGCCACAGGAACAGTGACCCTGAGCCGGGAGATCCAGCACCAAACACCCTGAGGGGAGTCACCCTGAGCCCCCATCGCTGGAGAGACAGAGGGGGAGCTGGGCAGCACACAGCTGGGGCAAAGGGCAAGGACGTTTTGGGGAGCAGATCACAGTCACAGCAGATGAGGGACAGAAGGAGACCAACCCTGGGGCCAGCACAGGAACGGGATGCATCCAACTGCAGCAAAGCCACTCTCTGCCATCAGAAACACTTTTGTTCTGCTGATTATACATAATGTATGCACATCTTGCTATATTTGAGAACTACATAAAAAGATTTTAAAATAGTCTGACATAAAACACATAAAGAAAAAAGATACTTTACAAAACCTGCACCTTCTATTTACTTTGCAGGCTAATCACACCAGAAATAATACAATTTTAAAAAGTAATAGGACTACAGAAGAGATTAATGACACAATCCAGACCTCTAGTTAAAATGTTTTCAAAGACAATCCTTATCTCAAAGAATCCTTGCAGGCATTCAGCCGATTCAATTACGCATTATAAGCCTTTAGCAACTCTCTGCCATGTTGATGGCAAATGTTCAAGGTGGAGTCTACGCCAACAGTGACTTTTTCTCTCCCTGAATCCAGGTCAAGGCATACACATTGTTCTGTAGTTTCAACTGGTAGAAAAACAAGTTTGTGACTGTTCCGTGCAATTATTACACAGGAGCAAGATAATGAAAGAATGTTCTTGGGGTGGTGTGGGAAACTGCTGGTGGAGTTTGTTCTACCTGGGAAACAAACCTTCCTTCACATTTATAGAGAATATCTGTAAATTTACATCAGGACTTACCAGAAGGGAGGGAATTTAACAGGATTACTCTGCAAGTTTTTCTTATTAGTCAGTGAACTTTTTTCCTCAGTTGCTTGACTCTTAATCACACAGGCTTTTCCAACAATCCTTACTCTGAGATATGTAAGTGACCTGGTCCCACAAGCGTTTCAGCTGCTCACCCAGGCATGTTTGATGTCCCACTTTAAAACAAACAGCACAGCTCATACTCAAGGGCATGTGATACCAATATGCCACTTTTTCAGTACATGGTATCGCAATCAATCACATCTTGGCATATTTCAAAATATACTTGAGCATGGGATGATATTAAAAATCCCTCAGAAACGCTCACAAACCCACAAGATTCCCGAGACTGAAGTGGAAGGCAGGGAGAGGCTGTGCACTTATCAAATCTCTTATCTGGGAAATGCTTGATTGGGTACATAAAATTTGCACACAAGCACAGGCCATGAGACCAGTCTCTGTTCTCTGTAAAGTCACTGTCAGGCACTGAGCCCTACCAAAATGTGGCAAAAACTGATCCATAACATTTAATGGACTGGTGGGTAGCAGAGGGGAGAGGTAAGGAAAATAAGTACGTAAGTGTGAAATCCTTAAGAAAATAATCCAATATATATTTGTAGACTTAGCAACAGATGTCTTACTGAAGGAAAAAAAGGAAATGCATCCACACAGGCTGAGTTTTTAAGCAAAGCAGCTGTTTTAGCAATTTACCACTACAAAGACTCAAACACCAGGGAGACAGGACAAAGGTGATGTTCCAGGCTCTCCAGTGACCTTGCCTACTGACAGCAGTATTTTCTCCCATCACAGACTGCAGCCCATGTCCCACACTGCTGCTGACCAGCCAGGGTTCACCAACACACATAAAATGCGTTTTAAAGCTCTGTGACAATTCCTAATGGAAGTTAAATTATTCAAATGCTAAATGGTTTTGTCTAACTTTAGTAGCCTGAAAGTCAGTTTTCCAGCCCATAGTGCGAGTGTGGCATTCCTGACCCAGGCAGGGGCTGCTGCAGCTTGGGCTGGCCCCAAACAGCTGTGCTGGCACTGTGACACAGCGAGCAGGGAACAGCTCCAGACAAAGGCAGGACAGACCGACGCTTGTTCAGGAACAATGGCAGCCCAGGCATATGTCAGAGAGGATCTCAGTCAGTCACACTGCCTCTGCCAAGTGAATAAGGAGAGGGAGAGGTGGGATTAATCTCTTTTTGAGGGCTCTTGGGTAACACACAGACTGTTTCTCCAGAGGTGCCTCACCCCAGCAGTGAATGCAGAGCCTCCTTGTAGGTAACTGGATTCCTGATGTGAGGACCCCGATTTTCTAATTTCATACGAGTCTTTTCTCCACGCGTGTGCAGCCAGGAGCACGCTGTGTGTCACAGACCACTGTGCACCCTGTCCTGCCAGCAGGGTGACCTGGGCTCCCCTCCAGCTCTGGTGGGAGTGGGATCATCCAGGAGCGAGGTTTTGTTTTGGTTGGATTTCTCACAACACAAGAGTTTTAGCACACACACTCACGCAATTAGTGTGGCATTATAATGGGTTTTACCCT